TCCAAGCCTCTCATGCAAGAGGCCAGATTGCTGGGGTCTTGGGCGGAACTGAATCTTGCCTCCATCAGGGCGGAGCACATATCCGGAGTGGCCAACCAGCAGGCGGACTCACTGAGCAGAGCCACCGTGGACCATTCCGAATGGCAGCTGAATCCGGAGATCTTCAGAGAGATCGTGGACAGGTTTGGTTCCCCAACCCTAGATCTGTTTGCCTCCCCAGCCAACTCACAGCTTCCCAGATTCCTTTCCAGGTTCCCGTCCCCATCAGCGGAAGGAACAGATGCACTCCGCAGTCCCTGGCCCAGGGAACTGCTCTATGCCTTTCCTCCACTACCTCTCCTACCGGCCACGATCAGGAAGATCCTTCGCGAACAAGCAGAGGTTCTCCTGGTCGCCCCACATTGGCCGAGACGACCTTGGTTCGCCGACCTGATGGAGCTCTCCGTATCGGCTCCATGGAGGATTCCAGCCAATCGGATCTCCCTCATTCAGGGGGAGTTACATCATCCAGACCCTCAATGGCTCCAGTTAACCGTCTGGCACTTGAGAGGCAGGCCTTAGGCCTAGACTCATATTCGTCAAGGGTCATAGCCATGATCCAGCAATCCAGGCGACCCTCGACGAATAGAATATACGATGCCACGTGGAAGAGCTTCTGTAATTGGTGTTTAGCGCACAATATTGAACCCTTACAGGCTGCAGTGCCAGTTATCCTGGAGTTCCTGATGGATGGTCTGGACAAAGGTCTTTCCACAAGTACCATCCGTAGGCAGGTAGCAGCACTTGCCACGGTTATTTCCTATGGCAAGGAGCCCTTAACACAACACCCTATGATACGCTCCTTCCTAAAGGGAGCTAACAATGCCAGACCACCAACGGTACATAGATATCCCTCCTGGGACCTTCATCAGGTTCTACAGGCTCTCGTCTCACCACCCTTTGAGCCTATTGACACTTGTTTGCTCAAACATTTATCAATGAAGGTGGCATTTCTGGTTGCTATAACTTCAGCCAGAAGGATCTCTGAGCTGGCTGCCCTGTCAGTAAGAAAGGACCTGTGTATTTTCCATAAGGACAGGGTTACTCTCAGGTTAGATCCCTCCTTTGTGCCCAAGGTTAACTCCTTATATCATAGGTCCCAGGACATAGTTTTGCCGGACTTCTGTCCGAACCCATCTAATAACACAGAGGCTCAGTGGAACAGATTGGATGTTCGCAGGGCCTTATATTGTTATATACAGAGAACCTCATCTTTCCGCAAGACTGAGGCTCTGTTTGTGTCATTTCACCCATCGTCGTTAGGACAAAAGGTTTCCTCGCCCACTATAGGCAGGTGGATTAGAGCTTGTATTTCTCTGGCATACCAGACTCAGTCACTTCAAGCTCCCAGCCATATCACGGCCCATTCCACCAGGGGCGCAGCCACTACAGCAGCCTGGTCTACCCAGGCATCCATAGAGGAAGTTTGTAGGGCAGCAACATGGGCATCGCCCTCCTCCTTTGTCCGTCACTACAAGATGGATGTATACGCATCCTCTACGGCTTCATTCGGCCGCAAGGTACTAGAACACGCATTAACATTGGATGGGACCCAGGCCCAATCTAATTTCCCACCCTAGGGACACAGGGCTTTGGTATGTCCCATCCGTGGGTTCTCCATCCAATCATGCTGGAGAAAGGGGCGTTGTCTTACCTGAACGCCTTTTCTCAGCATGATGATGGAGAATCCACTCCCTCCCATTAGGTCAGTTGGCCTGGTTCCCATTTGTTCAGACGCGTCGGACTAATGTCTGGGTATCGCCTTAGTCTAAAACTGGGGTGCACTTGGCACAGAGGGGGCGTTACCAATTTCAGACTTAGTCCAATTGGAGCAGATGGATTGAGACAACCCATCCGTGGATTCTCCATCATCATGCTGAGAAAAGGCGTTCAGGTAAGACAACGCCCCTTTCTATTTTTTTAATTACTCTGAAGAAAGCAAAGCCTATATATTTTTGTTATACATGTAGTCCTTGACTTATGACCACAATTGAGCCCAACATTTGTGAGATATTTATTAAGTGCGTTTTGCCCCACTTTACGACCTTTCTTACCACAGTTATTAAGTGAATCATTGCCATTATTAAGTTAATAAGCTTCAGTTCTTCTCTTTTTAAGCCCACCTTTATTATTTTTATAAATAACTCAAGGAGGCAAACATACGTTGTACTCCTTTCGCCTCCTATTTTCCCCACAACAACCCTCAAAGTAAGTTGAGTTGGAGAGAGAGAGAGAGACAGATAGACAAACAAACAGGCTGGCCTAAAGTTACTCAGCCAGCTTTCATGCCTAAGGCAAGACTCACAGTCTCCTGGTTCCTAGGCCAGCACCTTAAGGAAGAAGCCAAACTGGCTCTCTTATTCCAAAAATCATAGTCACACTTCATTTCTAGTCTGGTGATTTAATCACTAGACCAAAGTGGCTCTTTACAGTTCTTACTGTTAATGTTTTCCTGTTACAGTTCTTACTGGAAAGGTAGCACTTACAAGAGTTTATTGTTTTATGAACTTCTGTCATAAATTGATTCTAGATAAACATCTGGCAAGCTGACAAATGTCCAGGAGGTTGCTGTCTAAACTTCTATTCATAAAATAAAAGAGTGGCTCAAAGTTCCATTAAGCCAAGCATGTCTGTTCCAATCAGAAAACAGAATGACAGAGTTGGAAGGGACCTTGGAGGTCTTCTAGTCCATCCTGCTGCTCAAACAGGAAATCCTATAGCATGTCAGATAAATGGCAGTTCAATCTCCTTTTAAAACTGTCTAGTGATGGCGCAGCCATAGCTTCCCACATAATTTCCACTGATTAATTCTTAACTCTCAGGAAATTCCTTCTTAGTTTTTGGTTGGATGTCTCTTTGGTAAGTTTCCATTCATTACTTCTGATCCTTTACATTCCATAGTCTTCAGTGAGGGGTTTTTTTTTTTTCAAATTTCTTAGATTTACAGTATATCTGTTACAGTATTTTTGTACTTTTGCAACATGCTAATAGCAATTAATAACCATCAATCACTCTGATGTAACATAAAGTAGATTACTAAAAGGAGTGATAAATTCATAATTACATATAAATCAGGGGTGTCAAACTCGTGACGTCACGTGACGTCGCGCAACATATCGGGCTGGTTTTGCCATTGCTGGCAATGGGGTGGGCACAGCTTCAGTATGATGAAACTGGCCCCTGAGCTGGCAGTTTGACACCCCTGATATAAATCATTGGTATGCTGTTGATAGCCAAGTGTGATACGAAGCTAATGACTACCTAACTTAAATAAAAAAATACCTATTATTCAATTTGCCACAAAGTATTCTAAGAGTTGGTTCAAATCAACAACCGTATATGTGTCCCAAGAATATTTGCTCACAGCTTTGTAACTCTTAGTTTCTAAGGATCAGCTACTATTCATCGATAAATGGCAGCAATTCAGGGACAATTCAGTTTCAGGTGCTAGAAGCCAGATCAAATGGCAAGGAATTCAACAGGATTTAATTTTTCAAAATGCACAGCATTGTTGACATTTTTTTTATCTTATATTGCCTGGAAAAATGATTAATGCCTAAGTATGCTTCTTGGCTTTTCAGCTGGTGTGATGAGTCTCCTGGACAGTTCCCCAGATACCTCTCCAGATGTCAACTCGGAGAAGGATGAACCAGTTCCAGGCATGTTGGTCAATGGTTCTTAGCAGGCGGCTGAGAGGACAGCCCTGGGGCTTCAGGTGGGGAAAGCATGCAGCTGCAGCCAGTCAGTGATGAAGAAGAGGAACTGCCTTCTGCACCTAATCCAAGAACATATAGGGTAGAGAAAAGGCAGGAACAGAGAAGGTCAACCAGATTGCTCATGAGGAAAAAGCCTCACCCTCCTTGATGGGCTGCACCAGAAGTTGGCTATTTAGCACAGGAGACAGATGGAAGTGATGCTGGGAACAATGGTGTTTTCTTGCTTATATTCTTGCCTAGAACTTCAGATTGTATCTCTTCAGCTCTTGCCTTTGCTTGCCTTTGTCTTGGGAACTTGCTTTGGCCTAATGCGCTGGACTTTCCTTTTCCTCAAGGATTAGCATTGGCTTCATTTGAGTAGTCTATGGAACTCATTGGGGTTGAGCTGGTGCTAACACAAGGAATTGCTGGGGAAAACCTATTCAGGCTCAGAAGCCTTAATAAAGATTCCTTACATCCATTGTGTGTGTGAGAGAGAAAGAGAGAGAGAGAAGAGAGAGAGGGAGAAAGGAACAGCACAGCTGGCTGCCATCCCTGAAAATTTCCTCTCTTCCCTAGTTTTATCTTACAACTTTTTGAATTATTTAAGGACTTTTTTATGCATCTTAAAAGCAACATAAAGATAAGGCAAGTAGATTGGTTAATAGGAATTAAAGAACTGATAATGTGAACAAGCAGGATGGAATAATTATATTAACATGCTATTTTAATATTTTAATCCATCAAGTTGCTCATCCAATTGTTGTTGCTAAGGGTTTGTGGGGATGTTATTTTCTGTACTGAGGTTTTATCCTTGTAGGAGTCCTGGAGTCATGCGCTTGGGCAACCATATAGCTCAGGCATGCTGGCTGAGGAATTCTGGGAGTTGAAGTCCACAAGTCATAAAACCGCCAAGTTAGAAGACCCCTGATATAGCTTTTCTTAAATAGGTATAGACCAGGGAGTGTTATATGATCTGGGGAAAAAATGGAACAAAAGATATTGGTAATCAAAAAACACAGTTGTTTATTATAAGGGTTTTTTTCTTCCTATAGATATTTTGATGTGTACATTTAATACACTTCCATATTTCTGATAAAACAAACCCTATTTCCTAAAGTTGTTATTCAGCTTTTTAAAATACATGCTGCATTCCTAAATAATAATCCTTTTTAAAAATAGTTTTAATACCCGAGACCTAATGTTGAAACACTGCCTATATCTGAGCTGGGTATATAAACAAAAAAATACTGGGATTACCTGGTGTTATAGCATCATAAATGTGCATAGTATTTCCCAACCACACCAGAATATGTGTTTTTGCATTGAGAAGCCTACAGCTGAATTATGGAGACTCCGAAGCAGAATGGGAACGAATTCTTCATGCTTATGAAAGTTTTTCACATGTTAAACAGGTGCCGCGTCGACAAATGTGGCTCTGGGAGAGTTAGCATGTGATGTTGTGTGAACGAACCACTGCCTTCTATCTTCTGCCCTGTTGCTATGCTTTTAAGTAGCAACCATTCACTCTTGCGAGTATCCCATTGATAAACGCAGTATAGACGCAAACCGGTTCAATATCCCCAAGGTGCTAAAATTTCCACACTCAAGATCTGCAATTCAGGAAACTTGTCTTTTCAATATCACTCCCTTAATATGATTCTACTCCCAACGCCGATTTTCCAACCGAACAGCGAGTTAGCCTCTTTCCATCGTCCGAATCCATAGCAAGTTGCAGAACTCGCAACTTGGTTCGGAATGGAAAAAAAAAAAACCCGTCGGATCAGGCAGAAGCTGTTAGTGCTTCTGTGCCGTCAGAAACGGTCAGCATCCAAGACGATCGCCGAGGCAGACGGCGACTCTCCAGCGTCACCTGAAAGTGCCCCGCTTGGTAAAAAGAAAGCGAGACTAAAGGCGCGCCGCCCGCCTTGCCCAGAAGTTATTTCGATCGCCCCCGCTCTTTCTTTTTTTTTTAATTTCATACACACAGTCACGGAACCCGGAAGTTTGTGTGTGAGCGCGTCTCTTTCCGCGTGGTGGTTGGTGTTTCGTTTTTCTTTCTTTTTTTTTTAATTTCTATCACATGGCAGTGTGCGAGAGATACAATAAAAACAGAAAAATGGCGACAGTCACGTTGTGGCGACTCTATGCTGCGTCATTAGATAATCTTCGCGCAAAGAAAGCTAAGAACAAAGACGGGAGAGCGAGGGGGCAACGAGCGCGTCTGGAAAGGTGGGTGGGCGAGAAGCAGCGACTTGCTAGAGCGCGGGGAACCGACGGGCGCCCGGAGCGGGGGGGAGGGGGCGGGGGAAGGAGGACTAGGGAGGGGGTGAGCCAGCGCGTTTATTGCAGGGCACCGGGGTTGGCATCCCAACTCCCCCATCTGCCCGCTCGCAGTTCGGCTTCACAGAGCCCCGGGAAAGTCCTGCGAGAGGTTGGTGGATTTTTACGCGAGGGGCAAAGCTTTTATCGCCCCAGGCAGGAGGGGCGGCGGCGCCAGGCTCTGAGGCGAGGTGTCGATGCTTGTCCTTTTTTTTTTTTTTTCCTGCTCTTTTAATAAACGCGGCCGCCCGAAGCAACGACGCACAGCTGGGCGAGCGGGGTTTTGCGAGCTGAGCGCTTTGCCCGCCTTTCCCCTCGCAGCTGAGGATTCTGCACTTTAACTATTAGGCGTCGCGATCGCCAGTGCACTTTGGCCAGAGGCGCGAGTGTTCGCGTTTTGCCTTTCTTGGGCGCGCGAAGGGGATTAAAAGACAGGGGAGGCTCGGGCCCGGGACTTGGAGGGAGCCGTCCCATCCCTGGCCCGACCCTCTTCCTCGGATGGATGCTTCCTCGGACGGAGATTTGCTCGGCGGCGCTTGACGGCGGCTGGAGCGAGCGAGGGAGCCGCGAGGAAAGCACGGCATCCTCTCCGGAGGGCGTGTGTGTGTGGCTCTTAAAATGTGGCGCACTATTATTTTCCTTAAGATTCCTGGCCCGGTTCCTTTCCAGTCAAGTGATTGTAAATATAGCCTGGATGTTGTTTACATGAGCCATCAAGGGGGAGGAGCGCAGAGAGGAGGAAGAGGAAGGCGGAGGAGGCTCCCAGGCTGGCAGGGGTGAGTTTTATCCCAAAAGGAGGAGCTATCAGTAAAACTGGGGCCGGAGGCTCGGACGAGCGGTTTGGTATTTGCGCTGGAGGCGAGCGCCTCCCCACCCAGGCTGTCGCCGCTTTGCTGGCCTCCGCGCCTGCTGTGGTCGAACTGCCTAGCAGGCGAGTCGGTTGCTCTGACGTGCGGGCTGCCCTCCAGAACGATCTCGGCCTCTTTCTTTTATCTAAGCTCGGTCCTTTCGGTTTTCAGCTGCTAAGGTGGAATGGCTTAGCGGGTTCCCACCAATAAAGCAGCTGCACCTGGTTGTTCTCTGGTGTTATTAAAGCCTTTTCTCACTTGGAGCTTTCCGGATTTGTGGACCTGCAGATCCCCAGATTCCCAGCCAAGAAGACACCATCATCTTGGGGAAAGGGGTTATGCTGCTTCCTCCTTTTCCCAGTTGCAGAGAAGGTCCTGCCCTCCTAGTTGTCATGCTTGTCTTTTTAATAATGGTGGTGGGAAGAGTTCTCTGCCTCCACCACTGCCCCCTTGCTTGGCATTTGCATCTGCCAAATACAGAGCAAAATTGTGTCCTGCTTGTTAAAGTAACTATGGAAGGACCTAAGCCTGAAGTATCTTTGCTTCTTGAAGAGATCTTAACAAGCCAGGATTAATAGAACTTTTAAATGCTGCCTCTGCCAAAAGTCATTTAACTGCACAACTCCTAAATGTATAAGAGGACTCTGGATATTAAAGAAAGCCGATATCACTGGTATGAGTTACTTCACCATTCTTGGCATTTTCCTTCTGCCCAACCCAATGAAATATTGGAAGGAAAGTATGTAAATAAACTTTTCCTGGACTTTCTGTCCACCCATCTGTCTGTCCATCAGCAGAAACTTTCCAAAAACAGAATGGATGGGCCCAAAATTGGTGAAGGTGAAAAAAAAAAAGCTGGCAAAGTAAGGCTGAGTTTGAGAATGACCAAACAGGTTTGGAATCTGGAAGACAAAAAAATCAAAATTTCCCAATGCATTCCTTTGGGGAAAGGCATGTACTTAGACTTTTGCTGGTTGCTCCATCTTAAGATTCCTGCCTCCTTCCTGGTCACATGACCCAGGGTGAATGATCAGGGCTTGGAAAGAATTCCAGAAGTCATGTTCTACATGTGTTCTCTACCTTGTTATTCTTTCCAATCCAGCAAAATCCAGGATAGAGATTACATAAAGAGGGTTGGGACTTTGTTTATCAACAGGATAACTCAAAGGAAAACAAAACTGGACCAATCTGTTGGCAGGAAATTTCGATAGAAGAACTGTGAGTTTGAATAGGGGCTGGATCTGGCCAGGACTGCAAATCCCCAATGTATCCCCATGGGAGAAGTAGTTGGGCAGCGGCTCAGAATGCTGTTGGCTACTCACTTTGAGCCCCCTTCTTTCCCAGAGTACAGCTGTAACTTAGGGCCTTGGAAAGAATTCCAGAAGCCTTGCTTTTCATGTTTCCCATATATTTTGTCTTTGAAATACATTTTTAACCATTGGCTTATCCTAGCTACCTCGTGAACACTTGACTGTATCATTATGTCTCAGTATCTTTTTTTTTTTTCTGTATCACACTTTCACCACAATTGAGATGAAGTGCTAACCATCCATTCTGGAATCTGCAAAAAGCTACAATATATACAATAAGCATAACTACTATCCCCATACAAATTTCTAGCCTCTATTGCAGACATATCAAACTCGTGACGTCACATGTTGTGCAACGTATCAGAGCTTTTTCACCATTGTTAGCAATGGGGTGGCGTGGTTTCCCATTAATGCGTCTGGCAGTTTGACACCCCTGCTCTATTGCCTCTGATTAAAATCACTGCCTACCACCTAACTTCCGGTAAGGAACTAGGCAAATGTTATATACCTTGAAACCGTCCTGACTGATGTTAGAACGAGTGGCAATATACTGCTTAATCCCCTGTACAGCTAATTTGCCTTACTCCTTGGCAGGAACAAAGTGAAAGCAATATAACAAAGATACAGCAATGCCAAGTGACTTTTTTCTCTTACTGGCCATGTTTGGTTAAGTATAAGTAGAGAAAGGACATAAAGTCTTGACTTGTTACAGAAGAAAAAAAACCTGATATGCTGACTGATCCTAGGTATATTTACTTAGATTTCAATACAATAAGAGACATAGGTTTGTGTTTACAGGTTTAACCCCAAACTTGTTTAATCTGCGGCATCCTTGTAGTATCTTTCCATCACCCACTGATTTACTATCACTAGTTCCCACAAAGAAGTTTGGTTTGTAGGCCTGAGCTGCTGCACCTTTCCTTCCAGAAATTAACAACTATATCTAAACAAGTCTTAATAGCCTTTGTCATTCTGATATTAAAAATAATAGATGTAAGTACTCCCCAGAAATATTAATTCAAAAATCCAGTTGACATTTCCATTTTCTCTTACTGTTTTTCTGTTACAATTTATACTTCCGTGCTTGACAGTTTGTATCTCACTATCTTATGCAACTCATCTGTGTTATCTCCTCTGGTTACATTTTGCTTTATAACATGGGATTTTTAAAATAAATCTAGCAAAGTGAAGGATTGTCCAGGGCCTCCCTTGTTCATATCTTGAAGAAGAATGGCTGCAATGCTGGGATTGTTAGATCCAATTTTTTGCTTCACAAAGATGGAATGGGTTATATTTTAACAAAATATAGGAGTGTTTGTTCTCTCTGGCCAGTAAGTAACAAAAGTCCAGGTCTATGACCTTGATTCCTTTATTGCAGCATTTGTGGTTTTCATGAAACTTGTCTTTAAATACAGAGAAGTTCCAAATCTATCTCTGTTACCTCCTAAAGGCAAAGAAGAAGTGAAGCAGCATAAGATACCTTATACCTTTTTCTGAGGAATGCAGTCCCTAATGTTGCCAGCCTCAAATCTGTAAGTATTTGTCTTTGACTGTAGACTGGTTGATTTGGGCTATGAGACTTTGATGGGAAAGAAAATACTAGGATTGAATGTCAACTATGACTGACAGAAATAAGGTGCTTGCGAGATGAATGTGTTGAATTATATATTTGTTTGGTGGTCTTGATAAGAGAAGTATAATTCTGTCTCACAGAATTCTTAAACAATTATTAAAAATAATGTAGCTGAAGAGAGTGGAATTTTAAAAAGCAGAAGTTAGCACGAAGTATGTACAATGTTTTGCAGATAGATGGTACAGTTGAGACTTGGGTGTGATGCCTGTATGATTTTGTGATTTATCAATGTTTCTTATGTTTTCCTCTTTATCTGCAAATAGTGGTATTTTTAATCCTGGAGTATAATTGTATGCTTGACCTAAAATATTTCTAAGTAAACATGTTAGGTTTAGCTCGTACAGTGTGGATCTTGAGTGGTTAAGATGTAATTCCCAGATTGGTTACAGCACTTTTTATCTCCAGCAACTATTGCCTAGAAAGAGAAGGGAGGAATCAGATATGGGAAAAGAGAGCAAACAAAAGACAACTAAGTAAAAATATAGTACGTTAAAAGTAACATGTAATTATTAGAGCCAGTTTGGTCTGGTGGTTAACGCACAAAGCTAGAAAGTGAGAGATTGTGAGTTTAAGTCCCACCTTAGACATAAAATAAAAGCCAGTTGGTTGACTTCTAGTCCTGCCTTAGCCATGAAATCCAGCTGGGTGACCTTGAGCCAGTCCCTCTCTCTTAGCCCAATCCACCGCACAGGGTTGTTGTTAGAAAATAGGAGAAGGAAGATATGCTAGATATGTTCACCAGCTTGAGTTATTTGTAAAAAGAATAAAGGTAGGATATAAATAATGAAAATAAAAATAAAAAAATTAAAATGTAAATTAAAGAAGTCTTAATTATTGATTGGTATTTTAAGACAGAATTTTTTTTTAAAACTTAAACTGGCCAAAAGGTTTTAATTTTTTTAAAAAGAAAATATATGGGAGAGATCTAGCTAATTTAATTTTATAGAAAAATACATTGACTTTGATTATACTTTTTGCCTTAAACAATATGTTGCTCTGAGTACATCTGTATTTTTCACCCCTAATTAATTTATCAGCTTCAGATCTATAGATTTTCTTTTTTCATAGCATCTACAGTGCTTTCAGGCCTTAATAGCATTACATGCAATAGGCATAAATGGTTAAATTGGGAACACCTTCTACTCAGTCTTTCCTGAAATGAGTTCCCAGAGGATAATGTCTCATATTTTGGTCACGGTTACACGTAATTCTTACTAATCTCTCTTTCTCTAATGCATTTTTTTCAATTTAAAAGTAGTTAAGTATAAAGACTGAAAAACTTCATGCTGCTATGCAGAAGGAATGACCTGTATATCTGTGGAAATTGAAAAGAAAGATAAATTATGCATTTAAAGGCAGAAATGGAATATCTTTTCAATTGTATGTTTGGTAACTTGCAGCAGTATAGGAACATACTATAGAATTTTAGCAGTATAAAGATTGCCTATCATAGCTTTTTTTGCATATAAATTTAGTCAGAGCAACCATGTTAGGCAAAACGTAGTAAGGTTTTCACCAAACTTTTTTAAAAAATTACTCCCAAATATACCAAATTAAATTGTTTGGGATAAAAAGCCCACCTTCAGGGCATTTTAACAACAGATGTTATGGTTACTTTTTAATCTCTTACAATCATTGTAGCAACGATATCAGTGAATGCTAATCAAATATTTGAAGGTCTTTGGCACATGCCTCCACATTTGCATATTTAACAGTCTATCATAATAACACCCATTGGGTGGGTAGCTAGCTAGCAAAAATGTAGCTAGCAAAGATGGGAGGAGATTCTAGAAACTGAAGTCTTAAAGCTGCCAGGATTGAGAAAGTTCGCTCTATAGAGAAATGTGTTGTTTATAACTTGAGAAGGAAGAGGAATCTTAGCCTCCCTTAAACTGTTTTCCTGAGGTGAAGTGCCAGACATAACTGCCATATTGAGTCAGTCTTGACTTCTAAGTCCCTGGGTGCCTTTGGACTAGCTCAATTTAAACCTATCTCACAGGGTTGTTATGTGGTAAAATGGGGAGAAGGAGCGTAGTGTATGTACCCATAAGTTTCTGAATGGAAAGCTGAGTATAAACTCACAAATAAGGATATAAGGCACACCCCAAGCCAGGGGTAGGCAACCTTGACTGTTTTATGACGTGTGGACTTCAACTTCCAGAATTCCTGAGCCAGCCATGCTGGCTCAGGAATTCTGGAGTTGAAGTCCATGAGTCATAAAAGAGCCAAGGTTGCCTTACCCCTGCCCCCAGCCCATTGTGACTGGGAATTCTGGCAGTTGGTTTCCTAAAAGAACTAATAAGTTACTATATTCAGAATGCCTGTACTGAACCATGATTTAATGTTATATGAATGAGTTCCCCAGTCTTTCAACATGACTAAATTGAAGACATCACCAGTTTTCAATTACATTTTTTAACCAGAAAAAAATTAATGTTACCTCCACACCTTAAATAAACTATGTATATTAATGTTTGGACTTAAAATGCAAAATAAAACTTTCATTTTCTATGCAGCCATGTCCCCACATTCAAATCTGAGTGTTGATGTTGATCCATAATGTCTCAGCATATTACAAAGGAATGAAGCAAGCTTCTTTACACCAAATATATTACTAGTCTATTTATTCTAATATTGTTTGTTCTGAATAAAATTTTTCAGGAGTCTCCCCCTATCTAAAGATCCACCAATTGGATATGGAATCTAATGCATATAAAGAAGTAGGTTACAATGATGTGTTTCATTGTAGAGCAAAAATTTGCATCCAGTCCAAATGCTACAGTCTATTTTAAACTTTGGAATGCTATTTCTGAGCAGAGAGAAACCATAACCTCATCTTGTTAGGATTATTTCCCCAACATATCAGCGTGTTGAAGAATTCAGAATTTATATGCACATTCCTAGGCAATAACACTTTTTCATTTGATGAAAAAAAAAGTGTTTTCACAAATATTAGCCTATTAGGTTTAGGAATTACATTTGTCCTTGAAATTTGAGCAAGGTGCTTTTTTTTTTGAAGTCAACGTACAGTTTTGATTCTCTCCCCCCCCCCTTATGAGCTGCAGTTAACATTGGCCAGATTGTTTTGTACAGGTGTCTTTTTTTGGGAAAAATAATGAAATAGGTATCAACACTTTCCTCTCAACTCTAAAAGGCATTGATTAAGAAAGTTCTAAATAAATTTTAGGTATGGTTTGATACTTAGCTACTAAATGATTGATTCGATATGTGATATATTTACCGGTAGATGTTCTAGACCAGACATGTCAAATACAAGGCCCGGGGGCCAAATGCGGCCCACGAAATGGTTTCATGTGGCCCACAAAGCCATCTCCCCCTGGAAACAATGAGGGAATGGCCCCCACTGCCTTAGCCCTCGCCCAGGATGGCCAGCCGAAGCCAATGTACAATTTTGTGGTGGCCATCTACGCATTCAGTCTCTCTCTGACTTTGCCCTAGTACCCATCATGAACAACCTGGCTAAGGAGAGAAAGCATAGCAGCAGCAGGCTTGAGGAGGTGATAAGTGTAGCTTCCCCACTTGGGGAAGAGGGGCTGGGCTTGGTGCCGTGGGTGCTTGAGGGCCAGGCAGGGTGTTTGACCTCTGCTGCCCAGGGCTCCAGGCACGGGTGCTTAAGGGCCAGACATGGCATTTTACCTCTCTGCTGCCCAGGGCTCCGGGCAGCCTGCACCACCATCCCCCCCCCACATGGCCTGAGAGGAATGGTGAGGCTTCTCCAGTGGACCATGCCTTGGCACTTGCCCTGGTCCCACTCCCTTCTGCCAGAGGCCCTCAGATCTGTCCCACTCCTGCCCAGGTCCCCTTAGGCACCATTGATGCGAACAATATAGAGCTGGCCATGCCCACCCATTAGGCCACACCCACTCCCTCCATGCCCACCCAGTAGGCCATCCCCATCCTGGCCACACCCACCCGGCCCCCTAAGGGCAACTGCAATGCTGACACGGCCCTCAATGAAATTGAATTTGACAGCCCTGTTCTAGACCAGGGGTAGGCAACCTTGGCTCTTTTATGACTCGTGGACTTCAACTCCCAGAATTCCTGAGCCAGCCATGATGTGTATATATTAATGTTTTTTTTAAATTTGTTTCAGTATATTCTCTTTTGTTCCTGTAAAATTATAATTAAAACTGGGGGGGGGGGGAATAAGCTTCAAGGTTATTTTTTCTTGCAGTTCAGTAGTTTAAGACCAGAATATGAAGGCTTAGAAGTATTTATTTACCGCAGCCTGTACTAGAAGAAAGTAGAGGAAGAAATAATGAAATCAGTTGCATATCTCAGTGAATGAATTTGATTTGTGAAAGAGTATGCTATGAATCCTAATAGCATGTGATAGCATTTAGCTAACCTTGGTTGATCTCCCCAAACCTAAGCAATATTGGACTTATTTAATAGTTGGATAAGAACTTTGTAGAAAATCTCAGAACTATATGCTACACTGAAAAATTAGCTTGGGGAAAAAAAGCAATGGGAAATCTTGTCTTTATTTTTGTCAATAAAATTGCACGAATGTATGCGTATAGAGTTAAGCCAGAATTTTTAAACTTAGTTTGTTGACTAAATTATAATGATCTGGTGTTCATATGATGCTGAAACATAATTAATGGTTTAATATGTCACCATAAACCAAACCACAGCATGTTTTAAACACATCATATGAATTTAGTCTATGAGATCTTTTGAAGTGTTTACCACTTTTTAAAATAAAAGTTTGCTTCATTTGTCTTTTGCTACAGGTTTTAAGTAAGAATGCTACCTCTTTCTCAATGCATTTTCCAGCTTTTCCATTTCTTGGCAGAAAAATAGGTCTGGACATTTTAAAAATATAAGAAGGTGAGTGAAGATCATAGAAAGCATAAAATGGTGAATTATTTGCAGAAGATATTAACTTCTGTTGGCCTTCTTATTTTCTAATCTAGACAGGAATATTCTTTCTGTTTTTTTGCATTTATGCTAGTACACTAAAGTGTTTCTGTAGCTTATAACTCATGAATACCTGGGGAAAGTTAGGAATTAAGTGATTAAGGTGTTACACTAAGGCTGAGGAGATCCAGGTCCAGTCCACCTTCAGTAGTGCAAATTCACTAGATGACTTTAGGGCAGTCACTTTCTTTTAGCACAACTTTTTCACAAATTACCAGGAGAATAAAATGAAGATTTCCACATAAGGCACCTTGAATTTCTGGAGAAAATGTGGGATATAGCTTTAACAAATACAAGTATAAATCAGATTAACACTTGCTAGTCTCCAAATTCATGTATTATATCTTTAGTTGATACAGGAGAATGAATGGCAGCAGTCTTAGTGACAAATAAATTGACTATCTTGGCATTGGTTTGCAAAATACAGGACACCTTTTTAAAATGACAAAATAACATGATGTAGAGCAGCAGTCCCCAACCTTTTGGGCACCAGGGATCGGTTCAGTGGAGAGAGGTTTTTCCATGGACCGGAGGGTGCATGGTTTTGTGTACTGCCTGCATCTTGTGGATGGGGCATGCTGACATGCCACGGTCCAGGGGGTTGGGGACCCCTGATGTAGAACATCAAAATAAAAGGATAAATAAATGAGTCATTGGTAGAGAAAATAACTAGTTAGGGATGTAATAGTTTAATGTGACTTTTTTGAGTTGGATGAGCTGTATCAATGTTGTTCAACCACCAGCAACTTTGTGTTGATTTCCCCAGCCAGCGTGCATGTTGCCAAGTGAATTCTGGGAGTTGAAGTTCACACGTCTTAAAGTTGTTGAACTTCATAAATACTGGGTTATGTGATAGAAAACGTTTATCACCAAATATGGACAATTGAAGAGGGGGTAAATAATTATTATAGTCCAAAACTAACAGATTACAGTAAGTCACCGGTCTGGTAATATCTGATGACAAAATGTACACAGGTCTTATCTAGAATATTACTCAAAGACTATCCAAGCAAGCATATATACTAACAGAAGATCTGAAATCCAGAAAGAATTGCTTTACAACTGATAAGGAACCAAGATAACCACAAAGGAAGAGATGTGATATCCTTCATGGTGTGAAATCATTACAGAAACATTCCTAGAAAGGAAACATAGTAGCTTGAATATATATGTTGAGCCAAGTTATTGTTGGGTTATCATGATTGTTATTCTAACAATAATAGTAAGAAGGACCAAGAAGGCCTGATAGCATCTGTCCTCCAGTCCTTTCAATGTGTGAGCTGTTATGAATTAATCATTATCAGTTAATCAGTTTATTAGAACGGTAAGACATGATATAATAAAATATCTAATAGTAGCACTGTTATATACTATACATGTAAAAGAAAAACAACAAATATAAGAGCTAGAGTCTAGAATATAATAAGATATAAAACAGAATAAAAATAGTATAAGTTGCAAACTTAAATGAATTGTACAGATGGTAGCACAAAACTTTCGAGGATTTTTTTTTAGTCTGGATCTGAAATATGTAACAGAACGTGTAAGCCGAAATCATATTCCCTATCCAGAAATTTCTTCAAGATCAGATGAATGAAGGTCTTTCTGCAGTCCTTTTTACTGGAAGTAGCATAGTAGGATAGTATTTCTGTTGAGTAGCATAGAGTTTCTACTGAACCTCACCACATGGACATAACCAAAGATACATTACAGTATCCTTAAAAATGCAAAACATATTGCTGAGGGCAGTGCATCTAGTCTGGCTAAAGTGAAGTAAAGCTTTACAAAATTTCAAAAGCATAATGATAAATAGGCTGGAGCAAACCCTTTTGGAAGAATATGAAAATTATTGAGGGGGGAGGACACCTTGCTTAAATTTGTTTGGAGATTACGTATATCCCAATTTGTTGTTTGAGGTCAATTCTAAAGATAAAGGTTTCCCCTGTCTATTCATGTCTGTCTGTAGGGGATGTTGCTCATCTCTATTTCTTAACCAAGGGAGCTAGTGCTGTCCAAAGACATTTCTATGGTCATGTGGTCATGACAACACCAAGGTGCACAGAACACTGTTACCATCCCACCAAAGTGGTACCTATTTATCTACTCGCATTTGCATGCTTTCACACTGCTAGAGCGGCAGGAGCTGGGGCAAATAATAGGAGCTCAGCCCGTCACACGGCATTGGGATCTCAAAATCACTTTCCAGGTGACAAGCTCAGAGTCTTTAAACTGCTGAGCCATCTTGCCCCCTAAGGTCAATTCTATCACTATCAAAACCTAATGGCACAAATTTTCCATGGAAAAATAAAATGAATTTTATTTAAGGGTTTTTTAAGCCACAGTGATTTAAAATGATCTTATATAGTAATGGGTGCAGAGTTAACTTTAGCCAAAAAGTAACAAGACAAAGCCATGCTCTGTATCTGTATCTATCTCTACACATAAAATGGCATTTTTTATACTTTTTGGAACCATTAGTATGTCTTGAATAAACTTGTTTTGAGCAGCGCCAAGAATGTTAAATTTTGCAAGAGCACATTTGGAAGCTATCAAGAAGCTGAGAGACTATCTTAGCCTGGAAACCTTGCAAGCTGAAGGGATTCAATGAACTTATTTTGAGTGGTAAATTTTATAGAGATACGCTGTGCGATACTTGACAAATTAAAAAAAGAGCATTCCAAGACAGAGAGGATTTATATAGATACACACCTGTTCAATTTGAGTCCCAGTTATTTGTCATTTGTGAATTTTATAACTTCCGGCAAACACAAAAAGTTTGGTTTTCTGAATGTTTATAGATAACTTTGGTTCTGTACAGAATAAAGCTAGTGCCCTAAGAGCTTTTCTCATCCCCATCAATAAAGTAAACGTAATAACTACATTATTGGCATACAATAGGAATTAATTTAGCTGGAATCAATCATCTAAAATAGGTAGATGAGGGGCTGAAGCGCTTGGATCACTGGATTTAAATATAGATTAAAATTTAGTGGAGCTAACATGCAGCCCTTGTCCTACACTGCCATAAATGTCCCCAGGGAGTACATCTAAATCTCAGGGAGATTTTTGAGTAAAATGACTGAATAAGTAGAAGCAGTCTTTTATCAATAATAGACAGACTGTTGCCTCAGACTGTCCCATAGTCTCTTAAAAATGCTTTTTTCCAAAAGGCAACTGGACTTCTTGGAGGGTTTTTTTCTTTGAAAATGTTTCTCTTCTCATCCAAGAAGCTTCTTCAGTTTTTCAGTGAACTGAAGAAACTCTTAGATCAGGCACTTCAAAGTGCCTGACATGCCTGTCTTAGATGAACAGTGAAACATTTTTAAAGAAAAGAAAACAAGAAAATCCAGTTGCCTTTTGAAAAAAGCATCTTTGGGACAACCATGATAATACCTATAGATATGGTCCCATAGTCTCCCTTGGTATTAGGTGAAAAGCTGACTTACAATCAACAAAAATTGCAAAAAAGGTGTAGGGTTTGGCATAGATTGGCACAATAATTCAATTCCTGTGTAGAAGACACATCAAAGATCTTACAAAGTAATAATATATTCATTCAAGTAAACATGATTATACGGTTGATTCCATCTGTCTCTCTACAGCTGCTGATTGTCAAATATCAGAGAAATCTAAGTTCCAGGTATATTTACATATGCTTTAGTAAGGGCAATGTATTAGTGGAATTGATCTTTGCATCATACAGTGCAAATTCTAATGATTATGTGCCATCAAGTCCTTGTTGATGATTAGCAACCACATGAATATATTTTCTTCGTGAGAATATGTCTGTAATCCAGTGCTTCAGCTTTTCCAATCACTACAGTAACTGAGTCCATCCACCATCTAGGTCAGGGGTCTTCAAACTTGGCCCTTTTATGACTTGTGGACTTCAACTCCCAGAATTCCTCAGCCAGGCATACTGGCTGAGGAATTCTGGAAGTTGAAGTCCACAAGTCATAAAAGGGCCAAGTTTGAAGACCCCTGATCTAGGTGGTCATCCTTTTTTTGACTTTCCTTCCGTCTTTCCCAGTGTTAGAGCCTTTTCCAGAGAGCCAGGTCTTTGCATAATGTATCCAAAATTGGATAATTTGAGTCTGGTCATTTGGGCATCAAGTGAGAACTTTGGTTTGATTTGTTAATAATTCATTTGTTTGTTTCTATCCATATAGAGACTTGGCCTTCACTTGTGTGTTTTGCCCACAAATTGTATGGGGGAAATAAATAAGGGAAATCCCTGCTTCTAGTTTATTTGCACATGTTGATTTTGTTTGGAACCTTTATATGTCTGTCTCTGTTTGCACTAATATGGATTTTGGGGGAGATCCACATGAGTTTTACACAAATAAAATCCAGATAGTCCCTGACTCACAAACACAACTGAGGCCAGAATCTTTGGTTGTTGAGCAAAGTGGTCATTGAGCATCCATCCTGAAATCCAAGCAGGATTTTGGCATGGAGTATTTGCAGCAGGGAGTGTTGGCAGCCAGCCCCCAAAGACAAGAGGACCCTTTCTCATTTCTGGTGGCATGCTGTAAATGTCCCATGCTGTAAACACATAGTTTTGAATGGTCACTGAATGAATGGTTGTTAAGCGAGAACTACTTGTAGTTAAATTCTGCCAGGTGCTAATTAATCAGTTCAGTGAGTTGTCTCTGTCTTTTGTCCTAACTTTTTTTTTAAAGTGTTGAGCATTTTTCAGATATGTTTTCATCTCATTAGTGCAGTGTTTCTCAACCTTGACAATTTTAAGGCATGTGGACTTCAACTCCCGGAATTCCACAGCCAGCATTGCTGGCTGTGGAATTCTGGGAGTTGAAGTCCACATGCCTTAAAATTGTCAAGGTTGAGAAACTGCATTAGTGTCCTCTTGTGTTTTTCTAAAAAATGTTTCTTTTCAGGTGTGCATCACGTGACATCTTTCAGTCAGAACAGGAGAGGAGAGGTAAGTTTCTTCCACTTCTGTTCCCTGGACTCTGTCCAAAAGTCCAGTCCTAACATAACATAACAGTCCAGTTGTAGCATAACTGGCCACAAAAATTATTAAGTTTATAGCAGATAATTAGGAATACCTTTTGGATAATAAGAACAGGTGAATGCAGTCTTTTGCTGTGTGGAACTGCACTTAAAAACATTAAGATACAAAAAGGACCCGAGTGGAGTACATACTGATGTAAATAAGTGGGCTGTGTCAGGTGTAGGGGAAACATTTGTCAGATGAAGTGTCTTTTTTTTTTCAACTAGGTGAACGTGTTTTAGCTTTTGGCAGGCTTCTGAGCTAAAAATTATAGGAGCCCCAAGTTTAGCACTAAACTGTATTTTTATTTGTAATGTGCCTCGGGGATTTGTTTTATGGGAAACCCTATACATCTGTTTTGTAAAACACAGGTCTGGCTTAGACAAACAGCAAAATAGTTAGTGCATCCTTAAGTGACATTAATTTCAGCAAAGTTGTGAAAAAAATATCTAGGATCCATGTTGTCAATATGTGTTGCAGCAAAACTTAAGTTCCGGTGATGTTTTCATTTTCTCTCATCGGAAATCTACGTTGCTAG